ATGACATCTCTAGAGACAAAAGTTTCATGGGTAGAGTGGTCATACAGTTTATAACCTTTGAAGCCAGGAGGAAAGCCAATGAAAATTGCTTTTCTAGCACGAGGTTGGAACTTAGTTCTGTGGTTTGCAAGAGTACTGGCATAGCAAAGGAAGCCAAATACTCTGAGCTCAGAGAGGTCGGGAGGTTTTTGATTGAGTATGTAGAATGGTGTTTGGTTAGAAATGATAGGAGAGGGGACTCTATTGATGAGAAATACTGCATGTTTCACACAATCACCCCAGAAGGAATGAGGTAGGTTTGCTTGAAATTGAAGGGCTCTAGCAACTGCTAGGATATGCTGGTGTTTTCTCTCAACCTTACTATTTTGCTGTGGAGTTTCCACACAAGACATCTCATGAGTTATGCCTGTGGAATTGAAAAAATCTTGCATATTGAATTCTTTCCCTTGATCACTCCTGATTGTTTTAATTGAGTTGTTGTATTGTCTCTCCATTTAAGTACAGAATGAAATAAGTTTTCTTCTGGCTTCTAACTTCAATTAAAGCAGAATAATCCAAGTCATCCTAGAACAATCATCTACCACAGTGAGGAAATACTTGAAACCATCATAAGTTGGAACAGGGTTGGGACCCCAAATGTCAACATGAAGAAGGTGGAAAGGAGAATCAGTTACATATTGACTGGAAGGAAAAGGCAGTCTTTTCTGCTTAGAAAAATGACAGACATCACAAGGTAAGTGCTTCTGAGTTTCAATGGAGGTACAAAACTGTTTGATGAGAGGAATTTTAGAGTGGGAGACATGTCCTAGTCTAAAATGCCAAAGATCAAAGGGGGAAGCTGAAGCAGCTGATGCAAATTTTGGAATTAGAGAATCTTCTAGGTAGTAGCTAGAGATAGGCCTGTCAATTCGGTTTCGGGTTTTCGGTTTAACCCGAACCCAAACCGCTACAAACAGTGCCGGTTTCGGTTTTTCGGGTTCAACCCGATACACACAGCAGCGGTTTCGGTTTACCAAAACCCGCAAAACCGAAAAACCCGCAAAACCCGATGCCGATAGCATCAGTCACGCACGCTGTCGTTTTGGATTTTGATAGCAATAGCAACCCTACCCTAGCCTTCAGCCCTTCCGTCGCCGTCTTTTCGCTTTCGGAAAACGAAACAGAGCGAGACGAAATAGAGGACAGAGCCTCCTCGCTTCAGCCCTTCACCTCGTGCCGTCGCCGCCATCATCGTCCTCACCGCGCCGCCATCATCGTTCCAGCCTTTGACAGGGAGGAGTCCACTTCACCACCATCAACGCCGCCATCATCGTTCCAGCCTTTGACAGGGAGGAATCCGCTTCACCACCATCAACTTCGCTCTTCGCCTCGCTCTTCCCCTGTTATTCTGTTCCTCCTCTGGGTTCGAAGCTTCTGGAGATTGGCGATTCCACGAGCAACTCCTCTGGGTTCGAAGCGTTGGAGGCAAATTAAAGAGGCTGAGAAAAGAGAAAGGAATTTCTCCGGGGATATGAAAGGTCAAGAAGATAGAAGAAAGGAAAGCATTCCGCCGTCAAGAGAGATGGAAGTGAATAGGGTTTTGCTTAGTTAAATTTAAATGGATTGATGGTAGGCAGATGAGAAATGGACGGCTAGGATTACATAGAGGATTCTAGAACTAGAGGCCCGGTTTCGATTTCGGGTCCCTGTACCCGAAACCCGCAGAACAGAGGCCCGGTTTCGGTTTCGGGTTGTGGGAGTCGGTTTCGGGTTTTCGGGTTTTGGCGTTTTTCGGGTTCGGTTACCCGAACCGAACCGAACCGACAGGCCTAGCTAGAGACCATTGTAGAGTCTAGCAGAACCAATCATTCTCGTCTGCTTCAAATCCTGTATAAGACAAAGGGTGGAATGAAAGGTTAAACAGAGGGAATTTGTGGAGGTTAGCCTGATGACAGAGATGAGATTGAATGTGAAGTGAGGAACAAACAGGGCATTGTGTAAGACAAGCTCATCATGACAAGTAACTGTGCCAGAATGAGTTGTTTGAACCTTCTGGCCAGTAGGTAGGGTAATGAAAAAATTGGTCAAAGAAGTAGGGTCTGTAATGTAATGTAGTGAACAAACAATGTGATCTGAAGCACCTGTATCAACAATCCAACGAGGTTGGGAAGAAAATGCATAACTTGTACTTGGTGGTTGTATGTAGGCAGCACCAGAAAAGGAGGAAGAAGCCTTTTGAGACTGGACTAAGGCCATAAGTTTGTCATACTCAGATCTGGATAACTTAACATCATTAGGAGATGAAGTAGTTTGAACGGAATTAGCTGCAGGTCTTGGTCTTGGGAAAGCAGAACTTTGAGCTCTTGGAACAAAATTTGCAGGATAACCATTCTTTTGAAAACACTTATCCTCTGTATGACCCCTTCTTTTACAGTAGGTGCAGATTGTTGGAGGAGCAGCAGGAGAGGGAGAAGGCATTGACATTCCTGGAGGCCAACCATGCTTTTGAAAGAAAATGTCCTCTGTGTGGCCTTCCCTCTTATAGAAAGTGCAGTAAGGGGGTTTAGAGAAACCTCGACGATTTGCTCCTTGTATGGCAAGTGCAGAGACATCAGATTACAAAGAAGCAACTGACTTAGCAGAATGAGTGCCATAGATCTGTCTTTCATGCTGAAGCATGCGTTGAAAAACCCTATTGATATTAGGTAGTTCATCTCCAAACAAGACCTGAGCTCTTACTCTAGAAAAGTTTTCATTCAAGCCTCTCAAAAACTTGATTACATAACTTGTTTCATGGTATTCAAACACTTTTGTCATGGCAGCACAGTCAAGATGACTAGTTGGAGTACAGGAACAATGCAACAGAGGTTGATAGTTTTCCAGCTCATCTTTGAGAGTAATAAGACGACCATAATAGTCAGTGGTGGTTTGATTACCAAGCTGAAGTGAGGCCAGAGCTTCTTCAAGTTTAGCAATACGAATAAGATCTCCAGAACCATAACGAGTTTGGAGACTTTTCCATGCCTCCAAAGCTGTCTTGCTTGAAGGAATCGTCTTCCTGATTTCTGCAGAAGAAGATTGTTGTATCCAGCTTAAAATCATAACATTGTTCCTAACCCATGTCCCATGTCTAGCATCTGTGACAGCAGGCTCAAGAATGGTTCCATTAATGAACCCCAGTTTGTTTTTAGCAGCAAGGGCGTTGAACATAGCCCTGCTCCAATCGTTGTAGTTGGTGGCTGTGAGTTTTTCAGCCACAAGAAGAGATCCAGGCTGCTCTGAGCCATGGAGGAAGAAAGGATCAGACAATGGATCAATGGGTTGTGCAGGTTGAGGCTGAGGCTCAGGATCGAGCTGAGCTTTGTTATCAGCCATTGTAGAAGAGGAGCGGCGACTAGGGTTTTATCCCAGGCTCTGATACCATAATAATGAAGAGTTTGTGGAAATGAAAACCCTAAAATCCTGTCCTTTCTCATTGCTTTGTCTACCTTATATATGCGATACAGAAGTGAAGGAGACAAGCTCCATTACAGCTTGTTTGGAAGCTTGGAAGGGAAACAAACAAAACTTGGTGGAAAAGAAAGTACAGACATAAAGGGAAGGTAAAAACGACAGAGCATAAGTCTCGGAATTGAATCGGCTGTGCAGTGGATATGTGGAAACGGTGTCGCAGCGAGGGAGTCCAACGATGAGAAGAAAAACGTCTTCGTCCACGAATCCGACCGTTGGAGATGAGGGAAAAGCTGAAAACTGGATTTTCAATCTGATACTAACCTTCCAGCCCGATCTTATGCACTGAATCCACCCACAACCCTCCCGCCCTAGTGATGAATATATATCCCTCAACCGGGTCGTCAGTGGTGATGGCAGGGAGAGGCCGGATGCGTGTACAGCCAAGAGCTTGACCTTCGACGATCAGTTCAACGTAATTACCTGTTATAAGTATGGAGGGGATGTCGCAACCGCCCCTCGAGATCGGGGAATCCGTCGCGAATAGATTGGAGTCGCCATCGACTGTGCTTTGGGGTGGGTCGAACACCCTTTCCCGGTTTTAATTTTTGTTAAAAACCAGAATTCTGGTCTGCGAATTTTAGGTTGTTCTAGGTTCGAGAGTACGGTTACGTGTGGGAAGTGTATCAACACCCCACAACGCCCCCATAACGGGTACTATGTAAATCGACAAGTTTTTTTATAGGTTGGGTGTATTATTAATTGTGATTTGTTTGTGTATTTAATTGTAATTTTTAATTGTTTTTAAATTAAATGTAAATTTTTAGAGTCCCATTGGACGACATGATTAGTGTAAATTTGAATTTAAAGTTATCGGTTTTCACGTCTATCGACGCAAAAAGTTTTTTAGTTGGTTGGACTCGAACCTATCGGTTGCCTACGTACCCGATGTTAATCGGGATCAAAGTCCACGTAGTTCGATCAATAAAGTTTTATATTTTTTAGAAATTTGATGTTTGTTTTAATCTTTTGAAGTTTTGATTTGGAAGTATTGGCTTAGAAGGAGATTTAATACGAGAAAAATTACCATAGTTATCGACCCTTGTATTTCATATTAAGGATCTCCACACAAAGTAAAATGGTGATCAATCATCTTTCAAAAGAATGTTAAATACTTTAATATTTGGAATTTTCAATAGTTTTTTTAGAATAAACTTAAAGTGAGATAAATTAGAGGACTTGTCCTATTGATTTAAGTTTTGTATATCGAAGGTTTAATGTTTATAAATTATGAGTAGTTAATAAGTATACATGTAATTAACGATTAACCTACTGGTTAAACGTCTGATTGTGGCCATTAACGAGGCTGAGGTCTTTGGTTCGAAACCTAGGGGAGTTTTTTTTTAGCCAATTTCGTTGTTTAGCAGAAATAAAAACGAGGGTATTTTTGTAAATGACTAAAACGAGGTGGCAAGGCCACGTAAAACCTGTAAAACCCTAGGGGTAAAACTGTTATTTAGCCTGTTTGGGTATATATTCGTTTTTAACAACAAAAATCTTAACCCTACAATCTAATCGATCGGCCGCCTCTCACTTCACTCTCCCCCCCCTCGTTTTTCTCTCGCCTGTTCACCTCTTCTTCTTCCCCAAAAAACACGAGCTAGCAAAAAAAGATGAGCAAAACCCTAGCTCTTTCAATCGCCCCCAACCTTCTTCTTTCGCCTCTCAAAACTGACTTACAGTCTCCCAAATCGAACAAAACCTAAAAAATGAATCCCCATCGCCTCCCTCTCTCTCTTAAGTTCTGATGGAGACGAGGAAAAGGAAAAGAGATTCAAGCGACGGCGAGCAAGGAGAGCCGCCGGCGGTTGATGATGACGGGGACGAAGGTAAGGTCTTTTTTTGGTTTGCATGGTGATTTAGTTTTTTATTTGGAGTGAGGTTCGATTCTGGGCGAGGAGATTTTGATTCGGTTTTGTTCTTGTGGTGTTTTTTTTTGGGGAAGTTTCGGACTGAATCGAGCGGAGGTGATCAGTAGGCCGTACCGTCGACGACCGCAGCAAGGCTATCGGTGGAAGAGTGAGGTAGGTCTTCCCATTAAATTTGATTCTCATTTTTTGGGGGGGTTTTGGGGCTACTTAGGCTTCTGATGATATGGTTCATTTGATTTCTGGGTTTCGAACTTGGAAAAGGAAAGGGATCAGATATGGATGGCGGACAAGGGGAAAGAGCAAAGAAGCAGCAGAAAGGGAAGAGCAAGGTCGCTGCCGCCGGCAGGTATGAGCTTTGTCGCGGCGACGGTGATGACAAACAAAGGGTAACTTATTTACATAAGATATTTTTGGAATTAAGGGATTTTGGGTCTGATTTCGGCTATGAATTGGGGAATTGGGTTTCGTTTGTGGTTACTAATCATAAAATTGGATTGTGGTTGGACATTCTGTGGGTGTTCATGGTGGGTTTCAGTCTAGAAATTTGGCGGTGCTCATGTTGAGTTTGATTCTGAGAATTGGTAGGTGGTGATTGATGAGTTTTGGTAACTGATGACTTGAGGGGTGGTCGAGCTCAAATCTGTCTTTTTTGTGGGTTTTATGGGTGAATTTGATTTTGGAAATTTGACTGGTATTTGGGGTAAATTTTCTGGGTTTTATGTTTCTTGGTTTGAAAACTCAGATGTGATCATTTGATTAGGTGGGTTTCGAAAGGTTTGTTTTGGGGTTAATATGGCGGTTTTGAAACTGGAATTTTTTTGTGTGTATGGTGAATAACTGGGGAATTTAGCTTAGTGATGGTTAGGTGTATAGTCCAACATATAATAACAAACATACAAAAATAAGCAGAACGGGCAAAGAAATAGTAAATGATGAACAAATATAGATTTAAAGATCTAGTATTGTAGTAGGCTTAAACATGAAATATTTAAATGAAAGTACTGAGATAAATAGGAAAGTAAATATAATGAACCCATAAGGAAAAGCAATATATCTGATTTGTTGATTGCTTTTGTTATTATAGTGAGAATTGTCGACTTGTAATTTGCTTTGAAAATCGATTGGGCTTGATTGCTTTTGGAGTTTTATTTGGGTCAGATTGTAATTTGATTGGGGTTGATTGAGTTTCGTTTTGAAAAGAACTTAATAAGATGATTTAAGATGATGAATGATAAAGATGATGGTTTGGAATTTACTTTGCTACCAACCTTTTGACTTTTTCTGTTGTTTAGGGATGATTCTGCCTATCGTTGATTCTCTGAGCTTTTTTGTCTGCTAGCTCCTTTGTGCTTTTGCTGATGTTGGTGGCAGTGGAGGATGTTTGTGGTGAGGTTTTTTTGTTGTTGTTCCTTTTGGATTTCTTTTTAGCTTCTGTTTGTGTGTGTTTGTTTTTGCCGGGAAGAGGAAAGGGAGTTGTGGTTTCTTTGCTGTCTTTCGGAAAGGGTGAAGAAGAAACGAGGACATGAAGAAGATGAAGAAGATGAAGAAGAAGTGAGGAATTAGCCTTTTGTTATGTATGAAGAAGGAAAGAGTAAAGTCTGATTTTGCAGAGTTTATTTTTGTTGGTTTTGATTGCTCTTTTATGTTTGTGTGGTCAGGAAAGGAAGAGGGGAGTGCCCAGAAGAAGAAGATGAAGAAGATGAAGAACTCGTGGCTTTTTATAGGGGTGGGAAACGGTGCGGTTGCGGTTAACTGCACCGCAATTTGCGGTTAACTGCAACCGCAAAACACCCATATTGGCCAACCGCGACCGCGACCGCAACGGTTAGCGGTTAACCAAAAACCGCAAAACGCGGTTAGCGGTGAACCGCGGTTTATGGTTGTGAAAACCGCAACAACCGAAACACCATATGAAACCGCAGTTAGCACTCTAACCGACAATTAACCGCGAACTAACCGCAAAAAAATCATGGAAAAAAAACATAGCAGCTACTGTTTTGTCGCAGGGGAACGCCGGACGGCCAGGAACGGCGGCGACCGGATGGCAAAGGCGCAGCGGGAAGATGAAGGGTCGAAGCTCCGAAGGGTTTTGTGTAGGTGGCGTCGAGCGCGAGACGATCACCACTGTTCGTCGCTTATTTCTTCTTCTTCCACACCTGCACAAACCCTCGTCGCGACTCTTGACCAAGAACAAGTGAGAATGAGAAGAGTAATTGGTTTCGATCGATCAGAGAAGGAATTTTCTCACTTAGGTGTGTTGCTGTAAACCCGTGGATGGGCCCGAGCACCAAAGCCCACAGACTCCTTTTGAACACAATTTAACTTACCAATTCTACTTAAAGCCCAATAATACCAACCGATCCAAAAACCAGCTCTAGGACGCGGCGTTTTACTAACCTTCAGCTACCCTTCTTCTTTCTTCTTGCTCGATCAAAATCCCCTGCACTTTATGAATCAAACAAACCACCAAGAACAGAACCTGACCGACCAGAAATGCAGGAAACAAATGAATGACACGGCACACGAATTTTTACGTGGTTTCCAACGTTGAGAGAATGAGAATCTCAACGTTGACTAGTCCACGGTCGGAGTTACGCTTCTTGCGCTCTCCGACGATTCACTATAAATTTGACGATGATGTTCTTTGTGAATATACACTCCTCACTAAACCCAGTCGATCAGCTACCCAGCACAATCGACTCACTCTTTTGTGACCCTCTATTAACTACCCAGCTAACAGAGTACCTTGATACAACCCAGTATCAAAACCCAGAAACCCTTACTGTTCCTGTGCTGACTATTCACTCGACCCAACTTTTGCTCACACACTTTGCAGCTCGTACAGTTTGATCACAATGAAAAGTCTGCCTTTCTTCTGGAACCGGATGCTGTATATATATTGATCTTCTGAGACTAGCCGTTTGACATAGCCGTTCACACTTTCCCTCTTTGTTTTGCTTGATCACGCCACCTTCCTTCTTTGTCAACAATCAGACGATTCTGTCGATTTGATTCCAGCTGGAGTTGGTGGTAGATATTGCGACGCTGTCCTCAACATTCTCCCCCTCAGCTCAGCAATGTCCTTCCCTGTTACTTAAACAAAGAAAAGACACTACCATCCCAGGTTATAGAGACTTAAAACAACAGACTCAGTTCAACCAGTCAAGCATGACACTCATCGATTAAGATACGGAGGAGGTTTATTATTCCAAACACTCGAGACATAGACTCAATCTTAAAACACACAACTTTAACAAAGACAGTTCTACTTCAAGAGATATCCTCCCCTGAAAAAGCAGAGACTCAAAACCAAGCAAAGTAATTTTAACAAAGACACCTTTTATTCCAAGAACTACCCTCCCCCTGACTCTTACGCCCCTTTTTCTTTAGAAATCAAATTCTGGATCGGACTCGTATTCCGAAATGTCCCCATCAGAATAGTTAGTAAGATTGTCAGCACGAGATTCTGCAGCCTCTTCAGGTTCTTCTTCAGGTTCGTTGACCGCTATGGGCTCTTCAGGTTCTCCTCTTTTCTCCATGAAGATTCGGATACTCTTTCCTGCAGTAGATGGCCGAGACGGTTCCTCCTTACTCTTCCTCTTCCCTTTGTCCTTTGATATGCTTTCCAGGCACCTTCGTACAGCAGCGAGGTCAGCTTCGGTGTTGCGAACATTATTGATTGCTGCAACCTCGTCTCCCCCTTGAGCACTCCGAAGCTTGCGGATGCCGACGGAAGCATCTACTCGGCGAAGAACATGTTGTGCTCGAAGAGTATCGAGCACATTAACATAGGAGGCTTTGTCTTCAAGGTCAATCCCAAGGCAGCTAAGATACCGAGAGATCTGAGGACCGAAAGGGAGGTATCCCGGGTTTTGGGGATCACTGTAGGTGATCATATGATGCAGCAGGAGGTGAGGATAACTCAGCTTGTGGTAGGATACAGCATTGGACATGATCCATAGATCGAGGGGAGTGACTGTGAACCGATCGACAGTTCGAGGAAGAAAGACACGGGTGATGTAAAAATGTAGCACTTTTAACTCATCGGGAAGACAGTTCAGAGTGGTGGAGTTAGATCCAACTGTCTCAATAGAGGATAGGCGAGAAATGGCAGCTCGTGGACTAAACTGATACCGATAAAAGTCAGCCTCACTCATTACCTCTCTGCCTTCTGTGGAAAGACGCAGCATCTGAGACAGCAGTTCCACCGTGAGAGTTACGGTGTGGCCACACACCGTAGTGGTTGCAGTAACTGGTCCTGGTCCGCTGATGCGACGCATGTATGCATAGAAGGTACGCACAGCTTCTGGGTGATAAGTGAATCTCTGTCTTTCAAGAAGGGATGTCCACCCTAGAGCACTGATCAGCTCTTCGACGCGCAATTGATAGCGATTGAACGTGGCTGGTTCAATCGTGTAGGAGGGGATAATGCGCCTATGTCTGAAATATCGACGGTAACGAGGGTAATCTCGAGGATCAGTGCAAACATTGTTAGTGAAAACAGATGCGTGGGCAGTGATAAGAGAGAGCTGAGGGTTGAAGGCCATGGTGGGATCGTGTGAGGAGTAGGCTGTTTAGATGTTGGAGAAGCACGAGTGTGAGTGGGGAAAGACGTGGGAGGAAGAGCTTAAAAAGGGTGCGGGTACCCAGACATGAGATGGAAAGAATCATTAAGGAAAGGTAAGAAGTGATTGAGAGGGGAATCAGTGATTTTAAAAAAATTCAAGCACACAGGAGCCTACAGGGTTACCTAAATTACTGCCCTCTTCAATGTCAAGATTACCAAATGTAGAACTTACCTCAACTTGCGCTGAGAGTGTCAAGATTACCAGAATAAAATAACTGACAGCTAGCATCCAGAAGATACTTACTCTTACTCGAATGGGGACTTACCTGTAATGACAGCACGCGAACAGGGACACACCCGTATTTGCTTGAACAATGAGGTTATGAAGAGGAAACCACAGATTCTAGAGAAGCTAGTCCTAATTCTCTACGAATTAAAGAAAAAGGTTCAGCAGCCAACGGTTTTGTGAAAATGTCAGCCCATTGGAATCTAGTAGGAATGAACTCTAGATGAATAATGTTAGCCTCCACAAGTTCTCTGATGAAGTGATACCTAACATCTATATGCTTAGTTCTAGAATGTTGGATAGGGTTTTTGGCTATGTTGATGGAACTGGTGTTGTCACACAGCACAGGTAAGGTTTTTACCTCCAAACCATAGTCTAGAAGTTGATACTTGATCCATAGGATCTGAGTACAACAAGATCCGGCAGCAACATACTCAGCCTCAGCAGTTGAGAGTGCTACAGAATTTTGTTTCTTACTAAACCACGAGATGAGAGATGTACCCAAAAAGTGACATGCACCTGAAGTACTCTTCCTATCCGTCAAACTACCGGCAAAATCAGAATCACTATATCCTATGGGATCTAGACCTGACTCACTGGAGTACCAAAGGCCCCAAGAAACTGTCCCAGCAAGATATCGAAAAATACGTTTAACCGCCACCAAATGACTTTCTTTTGGGCTGCTTTGAAACCGAGCACACACACAGACAGCAAACATAATGTCAGGACGGCTAGCAGT